TCCAACAGAGAATTCTCAGAGGTGGTTGAACATGCCCTTCTTCTGGGGTCATCCTGGGACTGTGCAGCTTGCCTAAGGCTAAACAAGGTGGCTTTTCTGGGATGCATAGTGGGGAACTGAACTTCCAGCCTTTTCAGCCAGATATTTAATTCACTGAGCTATCCAGTCGGCATTAGGACAGCCAAAAAGGTACATACTGTGCATCTCTAATATCCATTTCCAAGAAACATTGGTACATTTAGAAGAGAATCCCCAACTGTTTGTATAAGCTGGATGGTATGACCAGGACAAAATTACTGAGTCTGATACCAAATGTCACAGAAAGCAATATTTTAGTCAAGTCTGAAGGTGCTTGTGCTTGGCTAAAACATCTATCTAAGAAGCAAAAGAAATGAATGAGAAGCAGTAAATTTTCTCAAGGTAGGGAGGTTCTGCACAAATCTCTGTTTACCCAAACTGTAGCTAATGTGAAATGTAAAATTAATTTTATGGTTCTGTCAAGTCTTGCTTGCATGAAATAGGAGTGGTTTGAGAGAAACAAACAAGAGCTCTGATAACAATATTGAAATTTCTCAGTGACGTGGAAACATTGCTGTTTATATATAAAAAAAGAATTTCATAGCAAATGAAGAAGTATCCTTTTGGGAAAATCTGAGGGAATTTTGAGAGAAGTATACAATTGTGAGGGAACATGGTGACGCTCCGGGATAAACTGCAGAAGCCTCTGTGCTGCAAGGTTGGAAGACCAGCAGTCATAAGATCGAATCCATGTAACGGAGTGAGCTCTCGTTGCTTGTCCCAGCTCCCGCCAACCTAGCAGTTCGAAAGCATGTAAAAATGTGAGTAGATAAATAGGTACCACCACGGTGGGAAGGTAACGGTGTTCTGTGTCTAGTCACACTGGCCACATGACCACGGAAAGTGTCTATGGACAAATGCTAGCTCCATGGCTTAGAAACGGGGATGAGCACTACCCGCTAGAGTCAGACATGACTGGACAATTTGACAAGGGGAACCTTTACCTCTACAGTTGTGGAGATATCTTTCAGAATGTGGGTATTGCATTGTACAAATGAATATGTGAATGTTTTACAATTGAAGGGATGGTAGGAAGCATTAAATTAAATTAAATTAAATTAATTATTTCTGGTGCCCCAATTGACTCAAATTACAGGAAGCCAGATTTACTCTGAATGTCGGGAAAAACCTCTCAATGTTTTAGAGCAGTACAACAATGGAACCAATGACCTTGAGAGGTGGTGAGTGCTCCAACACTAGAGGCATTCAAGAGAAATTTAGACAACCATCTGTCAGATCTGCTTTGATTTGGATTCCTGCAGAGCAGGGGGTTGGACTCAATGGCCATATAGGCACCTTCCAACTAATTTATTCTATGATTTTATGATCCAACTCCCAGCTGCCCCAGTCAGTACACCCAATGCTCAGGAAAGATTAGTGCTGCGATTTAATAACATGTGGTGGGCCACAGAGTCCAAATCTGCCACAACCTAAACAATGAATATGCTACAATTCATCCTCAAAGAAGTCAAACTGAATATTCCGAAAAGGCAAAAAGAGGGACAAAAGAGGAGCTGTGATGTAGTAAGGAATGGAAAATAGGGTTGATTATAGCATGTGGCTTTGAAGCAATCTACAGTTTAAGTGGATCCCAGGCGGGATAGCCCAAGAAATTTTGCTGCCTGATGGGGAAGAGCCAACTGAATCTCCCACCACCCCATTCCTTGTTCATCTGCATTCTTTACGTCATATCCGGGTACGTAGAACCAAAGCCTGGCCAAGCTATTTGGTTACTGGTGAGGGGTGGAATCTGCCTGCTGCGGGCAGTCAGAATATTATGGACAGAATCCAGCTAGTCATTCCTCCAAGTGTAATTCCATTGACATGAATTTCAGTGGACATACCAGTGACAAGTTAAGAAGTCAGCACAGCTATCTGCTGTCATGCTCCGAGTTGTGCAATTTGGCCCACAACAATAAATGCCTACACTGACTTGCAGGAATGCATCACTGAGAATTATGCTGATGGAGCTACACTGGGATAAATATGTAATGAGATTCCAGCCAATAGTGATTAATCAACATTTATTTGGTGCTTTTTCATGCTAGCCCAAATCTGCTGCCTAGTGCCTCATTCAACCAGATAGTGATACCATGTTGTTTAATGTTGCCTGGTCCCAGGAAACCCTTAGGTTTCCTCAGGTCTTCAGGTGAAGAAACAGATCTCAGAGCAAACTGTGCTAGAGGAAGTGGTTTGGTTATATTCTCCATTGCACCTTTAGCACAAAGGTTAACACAACCCACCTTGGCCCTGGCCGCATTGGTTTTGATAAGGTTAAGGGACAGCTCCAGCAGTTTCTTTTCTCCTCGCGTGGCAAGAGTGTCCAGAATGCACACTGGGAGTAGTAGTGGGAAATATCCCAGTCCTGGACAGCCTGTGAAACAGATGGACCTGTGAAACATGTGGTTTTTTGCCTGTTTTCAGATAACCCCCAGTTAAATGTGGTGTTTCGCCATATTGTGTGGTTTTTCCCCCCTGTTTTATGGCAATTTGAAAAACAGATGGACCTGTGAAACATGTGGTTTCTTGCCTGTTTTCGGATAACCCCCAGTTAAATGTTTTTTTTTTAAAAAAAAACATACACCTTACTGTGGGTAATTACAACATAAATAAATATTAGATTTGGAGGGGAGCAGGGTTTCGCCATATAGTGTGTTGTTTTTTTCCTGTTTTATGGCAATTTGAGGAAGAAGTTCAAAGACAGGAACAGGGAGTGTGCGGAAAGGAGAAAGCTAATGTTCCACTTTGTCTGGGAAAAGTGCACTGCCAAATTTCTTTGCCTTTGACAGCAGCCTGACATTGTCAGTCAGACAGGTGCAGAGTAATAATGTTTATTTGCTCCCATGATATCAACAACTTCTCAGGTGCCAATTTCTGCACATCACACTGCTGGTAAAGGCAGTGGAACAAGGCAAGCCACCTTATTTTTTTTCCTGCTCACTTAGCAGCCTTCTTCAAATAGGGCAGTTTTTTGGGAGTCACAGCAAGGGAGCAGACACCTGCTCTTTGACATATTCAGGATAAACCAGCAAAAAAATGCAGAACAGCATAATTCCTAATTACCTGTCTTGGTGTTTCTAGGAACAGAATATATATCCTATATATGTTTTAAAACTTGTTGTCAAGCACTAGTACACACAGTCAAATCTTTAGCAAATGGGCAACCGACTACAGAATTCCACACTTTTTCAAATGTTGCAACATATTTTTTAGCAATTTAAATATTCCTAAACATATTATTACAATGACAGGAAAGATGTCTAGAAAATGTATTTTGACAGAATTTAGGGTTTTAAGAAAGACATAAATTGATAGAAGATACATCTAAAATTTGTATTTACATGCTCAGATTAATGGAGAAAAAAGATAAAACAGGCTTCTAAATCAACATAAAGAGAGAAATAAATAGCTCCATATGTCCTTAACCAGTCTTGCAAGATATGAGTTAAAGAAAGGGAAAGGGTGGAGGGGGAAGAGAAAAAGTTGTCCATTTTTCTTGCTGGTACAGTTTTATTTAGCACGTAGTTAGGCTTAACTAGAAACAGAGTTGCAGTGTAATTCTTTACATGCCTCTTTAACAAAGTCTCACTGAGCATAATAGGCTCATTCCTAGTGAAGTACATACTGAATCACAGTCTTTCCTTTCTGTGAGACATAAGTGGAGCATGAGGTTTGAATATTCAATTCAAAAATCCTACCTCCTGGCACAATCTTAATGACTTACACAAGTGATGAGTGCTGCCTTAATTTAGTTGAATCACTAAGAATACATAGAGGATTGCCATTTACTTGCCAGCAGCTGCTGATTTGCCTTTGCCATTTATTTGAAAATGACTCTCTCCTCTCTTGATTGCAAATTAAATGAACATTCATTAGCAAATACTAGTTTGTGGCCCATCATTCAATGCCCTTTGATGTATAACACAGGCCTGAGAAGCCCACTAGGCTGAATACTGCCCAACAGTCATGTGTTTCATGACCCATTTTTTGCAGAACCAAGTCATGGGATTGCCAGCTTCTCAACCAACTGCTGTAGATATGTCTTTAATAGCAGCCATTCAGCAAACAGCTATGATTATACCAGGTAAGAATGCTTAACACTGAAGGTGCTGTTCCAAGCACAATAGTAGGCCTAGCAGATTTGTCTTCAAAACAGTCAGTAATCTCAGGAGAATAGAGATTTATTGGACATATAGCAGGTTAGTTTTATCTGGTGGTCACTGAGTTTTGATATGGAGATGTAACACAGGTTCATCCAACTTGTAGGTGCGATAAATCCACCAAAGAGCCATCTAATAAGCCCAGCCCTCATCCTGCAACCACTTGTTTGAGTCAGAATTGAATTGAGCAAGAGAACATGGGTTTTGCATGAAAAAGATCCCTGACCTAATATCCCAGGCATCTCCAATGTGAGTGTTAAGGTTAGGGGAGGGAAGGCCAGTCCTATCACTAGAAAAGCAGAAATTTGGAGTGCAAAAAGTGGAAGTGTGTCACAGAATAGGGCTGTGCACGCCACACTGCCTCCCTCCTACCCCTTAAGCAAACTTCTCTAGAGCCAGTAGAGTATGTTGTCTTCTAACCATTCCTGAAAAAAGATCCAAACAACCCCAAAGATAAAATTTAGACTCTGCTGTCAGGGTCTCAGACAGTAAAATATCCCATGAGATTTGATACACAAGACCTCTCCCTCCACCTCTGGAGAGCCCTTGTCTATCAATCAGATTAGGTGATTGGGGGTTACATGACCTAGTAGTTTTTGACCAGGTGTAAGAATGACCTCCTTACTGGCAGAACTAGGAAAAGTACTTTTTGGACTCAAGTTAGTATCTTTATGTTGGTGTGTAAGTTTTGGAAGGATGAGAGCTTTGTTTATAAAGGCAAAGCTATTAACAAGATGGTTTCTCATGTACTTAGGCAAAGATCTGGATAGTCCTTATATATCCTCTATCTGGATAGAAACAGGCAAGGACTTCTGGAAAGGGGACTTCATTGTTATTGCTGAAAGAGTGCAATGAAGAATGATTTCTAAAATGAAGGGGACAAGGTATAGTTTCAACTGTAGCCCTTCCTTAATGTACAAAACCCAGTCCTGGAGCAGAGTCTTTGCTAGAGTTATGTTGACCTTCCTTGGTTTCTTTCTCTGGGGAGCAGCTGTAGCTCTATTGTTTGGAGGCATATTTGTGATCCTCACTTACCAGATTTACAGGATCTTTATTCACAACTCATTCTTTGCTGTGCCAGGCTGGCTGGCGATCACTGCGGCCTTTCTGCTCTTTCCCACTGGTGCTTTGGCTATATATGAACCAGTGAGGAATTCTCGCCCTTACCGGGGGACTCTGATGTACCTGTTTTTGGTCCTGCTCTGTTTGGAAGCCTCTTCAGCTGTGATGACTCGGATCTATTTGACCAACACAAGTGACCAACTTAAAAACAACATGCAGCCTTTCTTTCACCGGTGTAACAGGACTGCTCCAGCTCACTGTGGCAGTGAAGCAGTGGACACAATCCATAAGCAGCTGGGATGCTGTGGGCTCTCCAATTACACAGACTGGATGAGGATGCCTCAGAACCATCTCCGAACAACAAGACCGGGCATTGCCCCTGAGAGCTGCTGCAAAGAGACTCACTTGGATTGCCATGGCAACATGAGTGAGCCGGAGAAACTCTTTGAAGAAGGCTGCCTCAAAAAACTGGAAGAAAGACTCAGTTTTGTCATGCAATATATGGCCTGGTGTTGTGTGGTGGTGGGTTGCCTGGAGATTCTAGCTGCTCTCGTCAATGGGATGCTTATGAAGGAGCAGCCATACCGAGACTTCCACCTGCTTGAATCAGCCACTTTCTCATAACTTGTAAAACTGGTCACTCTGCTTTGGTGCTTGCTGTGTTTCATGACACCATTAGGCATTTGGTTTAAAGCTGAGATAGCAGGCATTAAACAAGTGTGTGTGTGTGTGTGGGGGAAGCCCTGCCAAAATGCTGCCCATGGCTTCCTTAGAGACTATACCTTCCTTTCAGTGTACTGTTACTCGACATTTTTCAAAATTCAAGACATGGACTGTAAGTGCTCCTGAATAAATTCATGCATGTCAAAAACCTCCTGAAGTGGGCAGCCTTTATAGTGTTGCGTGTGTGGATTGTGAAGCCTCTGGCACTGATTAGCTAAGCTGGGATGGAATGTTGGCAAACATGTCAGTGGCTCAGAAAGTAGAGCTATTAGGATGTTAGCAGCTCCACTCAGTGTTAGTGAGGGCGAGGGGAATTGTCATTTTGACAGGAATTAAACCTCACACAGACCTAAGAGTCTAGGAAGAGCTTCCATTAAGAAAAGAAAGGCGGGGGTGAGGGAAGATTGTAGAGACTACTGCTTTGTTTACTATAGATCACACAGTAGGTTTTAAAAGAAAAGTATCAGGGAAAAGTAAGTAGAAGAGACACCGAACCAAAGAAAAGAGGGGCTAATGAGCAAGACATAAAATAAACAGGCAAGGATAGTTTAAGGAATTTTGGCCAAGAAATATGAGATTCTTAGATACAGAATTGTATCTTTCAAGAGTACTATTAAAGGGAAGTGTTATAAGCACAGTGATTTCTGCTGTCATTGGAGCATGGGTAGTCTTGAGGGAGGAAAACACACTGGGAAATGGGATGGGGACTAGATATTCCATATTGATTGGAACTAGCCAGGCAATGCCTTGGCTGGTGGGTTCTAGTTAATCTTTACTTTAGCATTTGGGTAGCTAAAGTGACTCAACATGAAACAGGTGGAAGAAAGGAATTTTTTCTTGTGTGTTTGTAAGGACCCTGTTTTCACACCAGGGATGGTGACCTGCCTAATGGCTGATGGTTTTTTTATTTGTCAGTAGCCTGCCTTGCTCTGTTTCTGAAACAGGTAAATGATTATAGGGATGATAAAAACGCCTTGTCTGTTTACATGAAAAGCAAATGTACAGACCGTCTATTATTTTAAAAAATTAAAACCATGTGCTCTTGTACAATGTTTTAATGATTATTCATTGATCATGCAATGAGTTACCCTAGACCGGCTTCTGAAGCAGGTTTATTAATAAACTGACCACAAGACATTCCTGCCTATCTATTGATTCATCTGTCCTGCTGCTGTGACCTTAAAAATGTTTCACAAACAGTTCGTGTATAATCTCCAGAATTTACTCCTAGGAACAAAGAGCTAAGACACCCAAACCAGTTGGGTAAAGTGAAGCTCACAGCTTTTTTGCAACAATCTACAGCATCAAACTTGATTTATTCTGCCAGTCTGCAGCACACTGAATAGGAAATCCATTTCTGCCTTTCTGTCCTGTTCACTTACTAGCTTACTGGCCTCCAAAACACACAGGAGTGGCACTGAGCACATCAGAGATAAGACATGACATACGATGTGTCTACCTGCTTCAGTTTAGGATAATCCCTGTTCTATTTCCAAAAAGGAAGACAGACACCATCAGAAAGGAGGCTGCGAAGGACAAAAAACAACAAAAAGGAGGCCATTCTTTGCAACAGCAAGAGAGAGAGAGAATATATTGCATTGAATTTGCACATGCTAATTTAAACTAGTATATGCACATATAATCCTAGTTAGACATTCTTACTAAAGTTTAAATGGAGGTATTCTACAGCTCACCATATTGTACAACACTGTGACCAGGTAACAACCCTGGGACACAGCATTCAGTGAAAATAGGCTATAAATAAAATAAATAAGGTGCAATCTTGAATAGCTCTCTGAAATGCCCTGTGCTTTGTATTTTCCGCAGATTACATTTTATAGAAAATAAATAAATATTGGTCACTGTAGTTTTCTTGAAATATCTAAGCAGGAGCAATCGTTTGAAAAATGTTTCCAGAATGTCCAGTCCTGGGGACTGACCTTACACCTGATTGACATGCCATACCCACAATACACAGTAGTGATATGAGTTTGTGTGTGCTTTGTTTCCTTTCTGACAAAATGACCCCACACAGAGAACCATACTATTTAAAAAATGAGAGAACTTACTAGATAGGTTTCCCATACAATGCTTTATTACACATGAAGATCTAACTTCATAGATGTATTACTCATAATAGCTCAGCATTAGCTATTGAGTATT